TATGTTAATTTGTTGTTGGTGAAATTATAACNCATAAGCTTATTAAGAGTTTGATATTTTAATAAACGTATCATCATGTCTAACCTTGCGGATTCATTATGAGGAGAAATGTGTCTTAATTTTAATTAATATTAATTATNTNTTCATTTAGATAGTTTNATCGATATGAACTAACANAAATCAACGGGTTTAATCAAAATTAAACAAACTACACAAAATTAACCGAAANNATCCACTAAAAACAGTATCGAATTAACATTTCCGTTTTATTCTACAACTTTATTTATGAACTGAACTTTGCCATAACCAAACCAAACCATAATTTTATTCGCTGAGTTTCAATTAGTTTCGGTAGAAAATTTTCGACCCAAAAAAATTAAAGAACCGACAAATCGAATCAAACTAACCATAACTAACATAATATATCTAAACTTCAAATAGTTTTTTGTATTTGAATTTAGGCTTTGATGCTAGGTAACTAGGGTCTAAGAGCTATGTATTGTTTTTAATATTTAACGTGCATTTGTGAGGATTTGATTAACATAATTACAGTTTAGTACTCTTTAATTCGTTAGCAATATAAATTTTATTCAATATTTTACATACAATTATGAAGATTTGAGTTTAGTACTCATTAATTTACTAAAATATAAAACAGAAATCAAATTTTTATTTCTAAGCAAAAACTATATCAAGGTTTTAAATTTTATTATTCATGCGAAAGGCTCATGTCTTATTCATAATTCGATTACATTATATCAACATGTACTAATTTTGACAAAGAATTAGTAGAGGGGTATCAAGAAATATCGTACTTCGTTTTCTAGTTGTCAAATTATGTGTTTATGTATTATATAACTAATTAAAAAAAAAATTATACCAATGATATTTTTTTTAGATTGTTGATATTAATTATGAATTTACAGATTTTCCATGATANTTAGAGTATGTGTNNCTAATTGAACCCAATAAACCTCTTTATGANGANCTTCCTANCGATATTANNTATANAAGGTTCAATGCATAAATAGAAAATCATTATGGCTTTCTCACTAGAATCGACACGTCTCTCATCCTCTAAAAGGATGCCCAAAGCTCTGCAACTATTTCCACACGACATTCCAAAATTTTATGCAAGACATCTACGATCATATATATATATTAGGGTTTAGTACTCCTTAATTTGTTAAAAATATAAATTGTTTTCAATAGTTTACATGCATTAATGAAGATTTAGGCTCACATATTAGAGTTTAGTATCCATTAATTTGTTACAAATTAGAATTATAAATTAAACTTTTATTTCTAAATAATTAAGTATATCAATGTTTTAAAATTTACTATCCCGCGCCCTGCGCGGGTTCCGCCCTGGTTAATATGATTTAGAATGATCTTAACTCTACTACTTAAAACAGTTTCTCCTTTATATG